CTCGGCTGGATCAACGATGAAACAAGACAAAACTGGAAGCTGCTCCACATGTGTGCTATCAGATGTTTGAATGGAATAATCGAAAACAAACAAATATACACCGAAGGGCTATTCATTCAATCAAAAATGTAGCTGCTGAAGTTATTTGATGTCAGAACCCCTTGAATGATCAGTAACGACAACAGTATATCTCCGATTAAATGTCAACGAAAATTCTGAAATGTGTCCGTACACATTACTTAAATTGGGTTGTAATATTGATTAGCATGCAAGCTCATCTCGAAATATGCCAGTCCCAACAGGATGCTGGCTCTCAAAATACCCTCTTCCTGACCGTCGGCAAAAATGCCTACTTAAGTACCATGATTATTTCTTGTGGACTTTCGATGAACATATAAATTCAAATATATATGATAGGAAAAAATGCACAAAAAATACTTTATTGTACTCATTTTGTAGATAATTGGGTCTTCCTCCAAACTTAGGCCAGATGAGCGGGTACCTTTCGGGTTTGAAACACTTTCTAAATTGCCACTTAATTTGTAACCCTATCGGCCGTTAAACTTACAGTGAAGGTTTCCAAATTGCATGCCATATACATTCTGATTGAGGAAACTCACACATTTCTCAACGCTACGGGGAAATTATCACAATATGCTCATAAAATTTAGCAACGAATGTGGATTATGTTGTGTGTTTCACAGGCAATATCAACGAATTTACGGACAGGGTGTACTATGAATTAATATTTTGCGCTCTTAAAACATATCGTAATAAGGGTTTTTTTAAAACAAAAACGTACCCTTTATCCAAGTAACCGCTTTAGAAAAGACGCACTTTGCTACTAAATTAGTGCATGAAATATTTTTTATGTTTTCCATAAAATATATCTGAATTTATACATCCATTGAAAATCCATAAGAAATAGTCATATTACTTAAGTTGCGACTTTTTACACAGTATATATTTTGCGAGTGGTTAAAAAGAAGCTCTTCCAAAAGCCGACGTCCCGTCTTGACTGAAACTGTTTGAGTAAGATTGCAAGAGAATCAATATTATAATTTAACTTAGGTAATTTGTTCGAATGGAAGACATATTTCAGAAGTTCGGTTAACATTCCATGAAAAAAACCCCATTTTGCGTCATCTCCTTGGCCTAGGAGTCAAAATGTGAACCCCGATTACTCTGTACCCAGGCAATCTACTCATGCCTTTGAATTGATCTCACGTCAGGTTTTGTAGCAGCCTAGTTAAATATACTCAAGAGTCTACTATGTAGTTCCACAGTAGTTACAGTGATTGAAACATGTGGACACTTAATAAACTTGCGGGTCGATAAGCGCTCATCTGGATGTCTTTCAGTTGCTTGAACGTTGAGGAGAAATGTATACTATCAAAATATATATTTCATAGACGCAGATAAGCTGTTTTTATGTAGATTAAACATTAGGAATTTCCCTTGGATATGTTAACAAAGACTGTATCTGCATACGTAAATCCAACTTTTTCCGGGTCAAAAGCAGCCTACTGATGATAAACGCCTGTAAACCTTTAGAAAGACAAGACAGCCTAATAGAAGCGAATCAAAGTGCTTCTAAGACAAATAATATAACAGATCAATGGTGGCAAGCCTGACATAGCATGAATGAAACTAGAAGAATGAAATGAATGAGGAATACATATATCGCGTTGGTTTGTTCCCCTTGAAGGTGTCGGTTTTGAGTGAAGTCTATTGGCAGAGTTCTAGGCCACTGTGAAGAGTAAATAATGTAATCTCTTAAAAACAATCAAGACTGTCCGTTAGAGGGGGGTCAGACGCGCCTAGGATTTGCCCTGATATTGCAACTCTTTCCCCGAGTATGTATTTGGTCTTAACATTCTGATAGGTGTGAGGCCTATTTAGTTTATCCGACTTAACATGTATCAAACGAAATTAGTTGTAACACTTCCCAGTCACAATCAAAATTGTCCTACGCGTTGACTCATTTCTTCTTCTTCTTCCTCAACCTCACCACCATTGCCATCATTCTATCTCTTTTAATCCGCATTTATTCTCATTCGACCCAATTATAATCAACATCCTTTTCAGCTGTCGCCCTATCGCGACCGGGTTTTGGCGCTTCAGACCTGTTCCACCTAATGAACTGACGCATGTGGTAACAATTTGATGAGTTAATTACTGCCCTGCTCGCACATTTAGAGATTATGCTCGCCAGCTGGCCTTCTGGAGTATAATACAGTAAAAACGAGAGCAGTCACGAGGTTAGGTTCCTGAACATGTCGCGAATCAGGAGGACTGACAAATTTTTGGTAAAAATAATGAAAAGGTGCTTATTTCTCGACCCTATACCTTAAAATGAACAAAATCATATTTCCAAAGTATCCTGAAAGTGAGCGTAATACACTGCACTTATAGAAAAAATAGTTGCATGGCGTAAAGATAAAGTATGGGTGCCGCCTAATTGATATTTGTCACACTAGTGCATTTACAGTACTGTCCGATTTGCATTCAAAATGAGGAAGAAACTAGTTAATAGATAGGATTCTTAACATAATGACTGTCGTTCTCTTGGTCATTGTCAGAAAATAGGTAAATTCCATATTTTGGAGAAGTCCACTAACGCAGGTACAACTCAAACAAGTGCGCACTCTACGTCGAGGACGCAGGGATTCAATCTGTTTAAAGAAGTATAAAGAAGTAATAAAGCATGATTGATGCGTTTACGCTATCTACGGGAAAGAAGGGGACAGAATAAATATATGTATGTCCACTAAAATGTTTAATAAAAGCAGTAGTGTGAGTACTCACCGGTGATACAGCACATTTCATATCTCATGAAATGTCAGCCAAGATTCTGAAACATGCTTTCGACTAAAACAAATTACTTAAGTGGGGTTGTAATATTGAGTATCGTGCAACCTTATCTCAAGATGTTTCATTTGCGGTACGATGTCAGCCTTTGAACAAGCTTCTTTTTGACTCTGTATAAAGTGGCAATCTAAATGCCACGGCTATTTCTTAGGGCTTTACAACCAACTTATAAATTCAAATATATTTCATGGAAAACATACACAAATAACTCTTGTATCAGTTTCGTAACAATGATGCCTTCTGTAAAGTGCATACTTGAAGAAAATTTCGAAAATTTACCAATTATGAGATTTTCAAGACATTGAAACATTCATTCATAATAACCCATATCTTTTCGCGCTTGCTACCGCTTCACCCAACCCCACCCCCTTCCCCCCCCA